AGGAATGCTTCTTCTTCCCACCCCAAGGAGCATGCCGAGAATAAGAGTCCCTTCGAGCAAGCCTAGCTCCCGTGGTGACACACGAGTCATTCTCCTTCTCAATGCTTATTTCAACAATCTGAGGAATTTCTGTGACACAGTTTTGGTTCCGCCTTGCCGAATTCTTTGAAGGACTTAAACCTAATTGCAAAGCAATGTTTTCTCTCAAAGGGCTGCTGGGTTGCTGTTGAGCCAAATCGGTTATCTGGATAGCTTTCTCTTTAGCAGATGAACAACTACTGGAGTTCACAACTACATTTTCATTTTGGCTTCCACCCTCATGACCGAAGAGATTCTGGCACCTGTACTTGAAATTGTTCCACATCTTTCCCACTTTATCCATGGATTACGTTATCTAAATTCAGAAGGAGAAGAAATATTAGAATAAAAACACAGTTTAAAAAAAATGAGGATATATCTTCAGTTATCAGTTAAGTTATAGACACAAGACAACTGTTAATTGAACACACCACATTTGAAAAAGTGCCCTAGTGTTTGTATAGTTACGTAGGAGTGATATGCATCACACCATTTTGATATTCAGAAAAGTCACGGTGAAGAAAACATTTGGGAAGTTACAAACGTTTTATTTACTAACATGCCCTCACATTTTTCTGTAGGCACATAGGTAGGTCTGCTTAGTTGTATTTGATGGCTAGGAAATACAGAGTCTAAAATTCTTCATTTTAGGAAGAATTTGTAAGTCACATGTAAGGTATCAAGTTTCCAATCAGTAGCAGTAAAAACAAATCCTGAAAAAGAAATATTCGAGTCACTCTGAACTATGAAAATCCAACAAGTGGTGTACAGATGTCTACATACACCATCTAAAAGCAAAAGCTGCAGCCACAGGTCAGATAATCTTGTCAGTTATAGCTTGGAATTTAAAAAAAATAGCACAAAAATAGAAATATAGGGGGGAAAAAAGTACTCAGCATTCTTAGATGAGGCAATCACCAAAAGACAAGGAAAGGCAGGAAGGCATCAGCAGAATTTCAGAATTATAAAGTCTCTGATATACTAATAAAAGGCATACATATGAAACATCTAAAAAAACCTGTCTGGCTTTATTACTTAAGATACAGAAGAACGAAAGAGCCCAAGGAGCTTTTCTATCTTTAGTAAGAGCACTTAAAAAGAAAGCAGCTCGGCAGCAGAAACACGATGATGGTGAATCATGAAGATACAGTAAAAAGATAAAAACATTAGCAGTGTGTATTCTGCAACTACTTCTTTAGAAACAGAGTTTGATAATTGGAACAAGACTGCCAAAAACACAGGACTGCCCTAGGACAGAGAGAAACAGGCTAATTCTGTACTAAAAAAGTCAAGCAACGCCAAGCTAAATTAGATCTAATTAAGTTCTAAGAGAATTGCTAAACTTAAAGGACTAAAATATGTCATCTTACTAATTTAACTCTTAACGGAAACTGCTCTGTTCTTTGGAAACATTATTTTGAAGCAACATTCCTCTGTTGCAGTTCTCTTCACAGCTAGAAAGGAATCTGAAGCAATGACTGAATGCACTGAGTCTCACGAAATAATGTGGACAATAAACAAGTAAGCAATACTCCAGTGAACCAGTCTAGAAGTCCCTTAAGATAGAAGCACAGCTGTAAGCCCATGACTTTATAGCACAATCCACTGAGACTGGAGAAGAGTCAAAGGTATAGCTTACATGAAAATCACAAAGGATAATGAACGTGAAAAACACCTAACTGTTATAGGAACAGAAAGCAAAAGGAGCAAAAGCTTTCTTCCCCACCCCCTCCTCAAATACTTCAGCAAACCCAGCAAGCTAGGTATCTACATCCAACTGCATAAAATAAAAGCTTAAGAATTTAGTGTGGATGCAGGGAAGTGGGGGAAGCGGGGAAATCACGGCTTAACAGTTTCTGGAGATTACTGGTATAAGTTACATAGAGCACAGTGCTAATGACAATCCGAACACCACCCAAGCAGTTATTAAGGAGGGAGACACTTGCAGAGAAATGTTATATGTAGAAGATGCTAGAGATCTGTGCACACAAAATGGAAAGTGTGTAAGCAAATGAGCAAGGAATGTCTTCCTGATTAATAATAATAAAAAAAAGGATTCCTAAAACTGTTTTTTCTAGAGTTGTTTGGACCAAGCTGGGGAGGCTGGTGGAGTTCTAAGAGCAGCAGAACTAATAAAGTCAGATCACTTACAGATTTGTAGGAAACATACAACCATGTATCATGCCATTGCAATAATCATAGCTGTTTGTGGTGTGTCAGAATATCCACACTGACCAGGAGGCAGCATATGTTTGCTGGCTGCCAGTCTGTCAACACAGTGTGTATATAAGGTTGACTTCAACCCACTTTTCTCTGAAGCTGTACATTTCTTTCTCTTCCTAGTCACTGAAATATTTAAATTTTTGAGGAAGGGAAAAGGAAGAGAGAGTATATAACCTCCAATCCCTTGAGAAATCAGGCTGGAAACAGTACACATCTTTGCGACAATGAACTGTAATTATTTTTCTAACCAATCAGTCATACACTATTCCATGGTGTTTTTTATTCTAAAATTGCTCATTATTGCTCTTCCTTTGCACTATTAAGTCTAGAATATCTTTAGACTGTTAGATGATGAGTGGAAAGTCCTCTACAGTTGCCCAGTCCTTTACAGTTGCCCAGAAAGCTTCAAGAACAAAGAAAAAACAAGCAAAACCCCTCACCCACAAAATCCCCACCATACTGGCTTGACAGACTGTACATTTCAAAAGTTAGATCTAAAAGGTTAAGTACTTTTTGTCATACTCAAGAGAATATGGATACTCTTCTTACCCAGAGAAGCATACAAGTCACTGTATCTTGTCTTGAGAATATACTTCAACATGAACTTGCCAGATTCCTTCTCTGAGCTGTGGACATGATTACTACAAAGAGAAAAACAGTATTTTTGTTAGTTGTTAGAATATCTTTTATTTTAGATACTTACATTAGTCACCAGTATCAAAGGGATATTTTACTAATTATATCTAAAATGAGCGCATGGAACTGCCTGCTTATTACAGATTTTTAATGCATATTAACACAAACAAAAAGCTTCACAGAATTTTCTTTTCCACCCATTAACAATCTTTGTCAAATAGGATCCCGGGGGGACCCTCAGATGACGCTTTTGAGAACCAAGAGCGAAGCCACAGCTTCTGGATCATTGAAGTGCCAGGCACAACGGGCATACTCAGGCCTGTAAAAATGGTTTCCCCACATTTTGGTCTCAAGTCCAAAGCAGTGGTTCCCAAGTATTGGTTGGCAGTGCTGTCAGGTCACCTCACACTGCCTCTCCTCCTTGTTTTCAGCTGCTACATCACATCAAAAGGCAGCTAAAAATACACACTTTTCTAATATTACTTTTCCAGGTAAGCAACTGCTGTACTTGCCACAAGGATGTTATACGATTGTGAAGCAAGAGGAATATGAACCACGATTCTAAAAATGGGAAAGTAAGTGGAATACAAGACAAGTTCTTTATTAAAAGAGCACTTCCCTAAAATAATCATCATTGTGTTTCAGAAATCCAAGACGAGTTGAGGGATTTAGTAAGCTCGCGCCACTGACAGAAATTTAACAATAAAAGGACAGAGGAGAACAATTCTCTTCTCCACAACAGAACCAAGCCCAGGATAGCAGTACAAGTTAACAGAAAACATTGGGAACTTATGTTAAAAGTTTGTATGCAGAACAGGAAGAAAGATATTCAAATATGATGTATAGTTACTGAAATAAAGAACTATGGGGTTAAGAAGTCACTAGTTGAATATTAGAAGTTAATATTCCTAAGCAAAAATTCCAGAGTAATGTCAGAAAGTACTAAACATGATTAGTTTCCATTCACCCCTGGAAGCACTAAAATTGCTGAAACGCTTTTAAAGTTAGGCCATACAACTACAACTTAAAGATTCCATAAAAGTAACCTTTCCAGAGAGCCGAGTCACAGGAACAAAATCTTAGTACAAAATGAAGATTAAAGCAAAAGTAAAGTTCTTCTGCAACATTAATGTTTTTACCTCCATTCCCCCATTTCTTTTTCCTCCCATTAAGGTCCTAGCAAGTCTACAAACTCAAGACAGTAAAACATACTACAATTGATCAAGAGCAAGGCCTTAACAGAACAAATGAAAGGTTAAGTTGCTAGAATAAGGGCTGTACAATTTTAAATAAAGCCTAAAATATTAGGTTATACAGGCCTCTGAAGACACACTTGCATTCCAAAATAAAACCAGTAATGCTGTTTTACTGGGCACAGGTGGCAAAGGGGCTACATGCTAACCATTTTGACTCATTAAAAACACAAAAAGGATGCGGAAGCTTATCTTGAAATTTCATGCTTAATGGTACTAATATTAACTTTATACATCACTATTATTCCTCAGTTCTACTCAAACATGAGCAGTCAATATACCGCCTATCCCATCACCATTGCCAGCCAGCTGACACAGCCCGTTGGACAAGCTGCCCGGTGGCTCCACGAGGGAGTCATTGCTTTGGGAACCATTCTTCACTAATAGAAAACGGTTTCTTGAATTTGGGTGACTCTCTCAGTTAAACCTCTCAACTTCGTGTTGGAATAAAACTTGAGTCATTGGTAAAGTATTTAATATTCAACCTAGCAATTTTAAATTAGTTTAAATCAACATGCAACAGATGTGTGGTTTCACAGACTCCTTGTCACAGTGCTAACGTTGACAAAATACAAATTACTTTTGAACTGGCCCTAAAGCCATCCCAGTTTTATGAAGGAGCACTGCCAGTGGTTACTTTTAGCTTAAACAGAAAATAAATTTAATTCCATCAAAATGCACAAAGTGAATTCATCAATTTGTAGATTTTCTCAGAAAAATTAAAGTTACACTAATGTTCCTAGAACAATCTCTTTTTAACTAAAAATTATTTCTATCTAAAAAAAAAAAATAACAGCAGTAAGCACCCTACAGGGAGTACAAAAGCAAAGAGCAGTAGTATCTTAATACTGTATTCCCACTTGCAATAAGTTTAGAGACATTCAAAGCCGTGAAGTTTGCATGAGCGTAGTCTTCAAGTATTCTCAGTGCACAAATGATGAAGCTATAAAGAGAGCGAGGAAAACCATTCATGTCATATGATTTAAATAAAGGCAACAGTTACAGCCTGTTTGTAATCCTGAAACACCATATATTAATAGATTACTGTGAAAACTCAGACCCCTCTTTCCACAAGCATCACAAGATCTAGCCAGAACTTTCTGCCTGTGACTTCCTAGAAGGAACATCTAAAGACAAGGTTGTGCTCTCTCCTAAAGATAATACACTTGCTTCACTCCCTGTGTTACCCAAT